TGTCTTAAAATAGTATTTCTCAATACATATTACTACCAGGTTATAGGGTATTGGGGGTTGAACTCAGGGCTTTGTGTAGAGTAAGTAAGCACTTATCAACTAAGCTACAAACCCAGCTAGAAAAAACTTTAAAGGAATAAAACTGGGGATAAAAATAGCTTTGAGTATGCTGGTTAGGATTAAAACCAAACTGAGATAGGAAAAATATATTCACAGCTGACTGATAACATTTGTTTGTGATTTAATATGAATTTCAAGAGTGTGGTGGTCTTAATGAGAAACATCTCCCATAGGCTAAGACATGTGAATACTTGGTCTGCAGTTGTTGGCACCGGGAGCGTTTAGGAGATATGGTTTTGCTGGAGGAATGTTATAAGCCACACATTGAGGTGACATCTGTCATGGTTCAGCCTTGAAGATGTTCACACATTCCAGGGTAGGGGCACGAGGATTAAAACTATTAAGCAGAAGGAACAGAGATATGAGGGTAACAAGAGACAGAGACACAGAACAGCACCAGGAGGGAAATTCAGTGAATATTAAATCTGCCACATTTATTTTCCACATGCTTATTATATACTCCACTCCAAAAGGGGAGGGGGAGGCAAGAGACTTCATTAATGTTATATAAGGAATAGACTAAGTATCCTGCAGGCAGCCACTCCCTGGAACCTCCTGCCAATCCCCCCACCCCCCTTAAGGAACAGGAATAGATTTGAATTCTCCAACCTTTGGTGAAGGTGGAGCAGATCCACCTCTGTATTCAAACTACTAATTAACCACACCCTAGGTCAGGATCTCTTATTTGGAGTCATACCTGTTGTCAACACCTTTGAGAGAGCAAGAATAAGCTCAAACCCTCTGACTCAAGGTGGAAATAGACTCACCTTTCTGGACCCTGGCAGAGGAAGTATGTTTCTGGAGTGGGCCTTGAAAGCTTTGCCACTTCCAGTTCTCTTTCTGCTTCCAGATTGCAGTTGAAGAGGAAAGTTCTCTGCGTCCTTCTGCCACCATGTCTGTTGCCTGTAGCTTCTGCCTTGCCATTATGGACCCTAACCCTCTGGAACCGGAAGCCAAAATAAACTTTTGTATGAATTGCTTTGGTCATTTTATCACTGGGACAGACTAATTAACTAAGTAATGAATACAAAGGGCTTTTGTTTTATTTAGTCATTCGTTCTGGATAAAACTGTGCTTAAAAACAAATCATCAGCAACCCTTTTAGTAATTCCTTCTTCCAGATGCCAAAATGTGCTTTTATTTCATATTAGACATAGATGAATTTCTCCCTTCCTCCCTTTTCTCCTGCCCGACTCTGTCCTTCCTTCCTATCTGTGGTACTAGGAACTAAACCCAAAGCCTGTCTATGCTGGGTTAGCCTTCTACCTTGAGCTACATCTTTAGTCTCTCCCCCCCAACTTTATGCATCATATATTTGAAAATCTTGATATTTTGGGTCACCGACTGAGAGATCTGTTTGTCAAGTGGTTTTATTCTACTAACAAAACCCACGTTGGTGTATGTACCAGGCTTTTTCTTTTTTGGGGCCACTAACCAGCTCCTGAATCATGACATAGAGGCTTCTTATTAGTTCTGTATGCTTGGCCTAGCTTAAATTCGTTTCTGACTAGCTCTGTTAACTTATCTGTTTCTCTTTATCTTTTGCCTCAGGGCCATTTACTTTTCCTTCCTTCTGTATATCTTACTTTCACTGCTTCCCACATCTGACTGGCTGGTACCTGCCTGACTGCTGGCCCTGGGCACCTCCCTCATTCTCCCCCTTTTTTTTGTTCCTCTTGTTCCTCTTGTTCTCTCTTTCCCCTTTCCACCCCCACCTAGATTCTTCCTTCTATTCATTCTCTCTGGATGCCAGCCCCACCTCTCCTTTCTCTGACTAGCTGTAGGCCAGTTATTAGACCAATCAGGTGACTCAGACAGGCAAGATGAAACAAATGAGACACATATTTATGTAGTTAAATACACTTCCTTACATCATTAAGTAAACACAGCACAAACAACTGTAGCACACCTTTATATAGTTAAAGAGATATTCCATGGCATAAACAAATATAACACACCTTTACATAGTTAAAATAATATTCTACAACATGTAAAATTTGTGCTTTAGGGATTCTGTGAACATACTAGAAAAATAGAAAAGGTGTCTAATGTTATCTACCTATTCAAGCAATAGTCTAATGTCAAAGAAACTGCTTGGATTAAGTCTAAAATAAAGTGGTTGTATATAGAAATATATCAAGGCATTTTTCTGTGTGCTTTTCTGTATCATTCTAGGTTATTTTAAGAATTTCTCACTGGGCTATAGAGCTGGCTCACCAGTTAAGGGCACTTGTTATTACAGAAGACCTGGGTTTGATTCTCGGTGTCTACATGGTAGTTCACAACTATCTGTTACTCAGTTGCAGAGATTCAGCATTCAGTACCCACTAAGTTGCTCTCTTGGTACTATTCTGTGTCTCTGTGTTTCTTTCTTATCTCTGTTCCTTCTACCTCTGGGAAATATGAGTCTCTAGAAGCAAAAGTGAGTACCATAGCACTTTTCCATGAACTTGCACTTTTGGCATTATTAACCACAGTTTTGAAAAATAACATCTATATTTATGTAACCATATATGTTGAGTGCTGTAAGGATTGAGTATGGAATGACAGCAAGTTCTCCTTGAGGAAGCAACAAATGAGAAAATTGCTTCTCCTCACTCTGTTCCAATCTGGATATTGGCTATGGGGCAGGGACAGGAAAGTCTTCCTGAACCCTGTATGTCATTTCCCATTAAAATTTAATGGAAAATATTTGGATATATAATCATTAAAGGTTATGAAATTAAAAATTGTGCTTTGTTTAAAAAACTCAAGGCTACAGTTTCCAGGCCCTTCCACTAAGAAACAGTTACTTCATCACTTTTACTTCTTTCTGGGAGAAGTGCTTGGCACACAGCGAACAGAAACGAAAACATGAGACAGCAGAGCTCCAAAGTGCTTGCAGCCTAAAAGGTCTGTAGGCATCTTTTATGTAATAAGTAATGGAATAGCTGGAAAACTGTCTTTCAAAGTGGAAGCTTGAGGCCAAAAAAATAAAGACATGACAAGGCCTTTGAGAAATAGAGTAACATGAGGTGAAACTGGGAAATAGTCAAGGCAAGGGTGTTGGGTTTTTTTTTAAATATAAAGCCACTTAGTGGAGTATTTAATGAAGTTTTACTTAAACAGATTATACCACATGAACATTTGCATTACTCTTTCCTGGGCAATGTGGTCTTGAGGAGAATAAGAATGAGTAGGGTGCCAAAGACTGTTCTAAATTACATCGCTAGCCTGGGTGGCCCAAAAGAGAAGTGTGGAGAACAAATGATAGTTCTTTGCTTTGTGCCAAGACATTTCTACAAGTTTCCAGAAAATTCTTGTTGCAGATGGTCAGTGAAATTTTTGCACTCACTAGATAGTCTGTGATTATAAATTACGTACTAAAAACAGAAAGGAGTCATATCTAATGTGAGAGAGGGAATATTTTGAGATTTAATTTCTTGAGTTGCCTGTAACTGAGAAATGGAAATGTATTTGAAATATTTCCCTCAATTTTTTATTCAAGTAAATGCTAGTCTAAGGGGAGTTACAAAGCAGGATAGAGAAAATTCACAACCAAGAGAGAGATAAGGTCAACGTGCCAGCTTTCAGAAAGTGACCTAATTGCCAGACAGTCTACAGCAGGTGAGCAATTAGCAGGTCAGATTGTGTTTCTGAGAAGGGGAAAATCCCAACAAGGGAAATGCTAGTCTTAAACATCTTAGTGTAGAAATTCTACAATTTCGTGAAAGAGGAAAATCTGTTATGGTTCTATAAACTTTAAGTCATAAAGCAATCCAGATTAATTAGTCGTTGCCTCTTTTAAAGCCTACCTGCCCCCAATTTGTTTGCATTAGAACTTGAATGCAGGAAAAATTTTTCTCTCAAAAGTTTTTACATTTATTTACTGCACTGTATGCCATGGCATGCATGCAGAGGGCAGAGGATAATTTGCAGGAATATATGCTTCCCTTCCACCATTTGGGTTCTGGCCCTTGTACCTAGGCGATCAGACTTGGCAGCAAGTACCCTTACCTACTGAGTCATCTTGGATGCCCATGGATCAAGTTTTCCCTCTACCTCCATCAGCTCTCAAGTTGTGGCCAGCAAGGTCTTGATCTGTATCATATTCATTAAATCCCTTATGAAAAGTGATTTGCTTCGATGGTATTGAAGATTGTGTTCCCACCCATTCCTGTTTCACGTGGTTCCAGGACGCCAGCTCTTTTGACATCCTACCTTAAAGGACAGTTTCCCCATCAACACTGAAGAACCAGGTGCTGAATCATTAATTTCATATGTCAGATTAGGGCCAAATGTCTTTGAGCGTCTACGCCAAAGTGAAATAACTAAATACGCTTTTATTGTGAACCACACACCTCTAAGGAAAAGATTTCTGCATGGTAGATGTTTGTCAGTACATTTCTGTGAGTTCAGATTTAACACATGGGGAAGAGCCCAGGGGTTTAATTCTCTGCGTGAACATCCCCAAAGATGGGACTGATTAATGCCTGTCAAATGGCAAGCTTTCAACAAATAGTTGATTAGATCGACCTTCCCCAAACCAATAACTTCTAGTCATTTATTCATTCAAAGTTACTGGAACTAGCGCGTTAGCGAATCTTCATAGAAAGTGTGAAGGATTTTCCCCCCAAAGGATCTCTAAATAAAACAATGCACGGGTCGTTTATAAAAAAATAAACATCACGTCTAAACCTAGTGCTATGTTTTTGTATTTCTGCCCTAGGTTGGCCTTGGTTCCCGTGGCGGGTTAAGGATCTGCTTGCTGCCCTTGAGTCTCCTTCCTTTGTAGTTTTTTGGCTAGCCTGGTTACGCTAGCCCCCGTGGCTGCGGAGCGCGCGGCCACGCCCGGGAGCGCGCAGCTCCTGCAGCCTGGCGGGCGGGGCCTCCAAGAACGGTCGAGCCGCTCCTCGTGCGGCGCCGCCCTCTTCCTCACCACCTCCCTCTCGATGTGGTTTGTGGTAACCCAAGAGGGATAGAAGGTGTCCTCCCGGGTCCAGGCCCTGCCAGGCGGCCGCGAGCGCGAATGCCGGCAAGCGTGCGGGCGTGGGAGGCGGCTGCGCTCTTCCCGCAGGGGCCCAGCGCTGCGTGAGGATCCCTGGTCAGCCTGGCCTCTCACTGGCCGTGGACCGGGCCCGGGAGCGCGCGAGGCGGCGACGGGAACCCGGGACCCCAGGCCGCGCGACACAGCCCCGAGGCGCCTCGCCCACGCTCGCGCTCTACCCCACCCCCTGCGCTTCCTTCCTCCATTCAGCGCGCCTGAGAGCGAGCGAGGGCTGGACGCGAACCAGAGCAAGCCTCGGACCGTTCAACTTAGTGGTTCCCGGCCCGCTGCCCGCGCGCTATTTGTGAGGCGTGGCCCGGCGAAGGAGGCGCTTGAGGGGCGTGGGGCTCCCCAGCTGGCGGCGGTGACGGAGAGGGCGCGCGGGACAATGAGCTGGGCAGCTACAAGCCGCGGCCGCCTTTAGCTGGCTGAGCGGGCCCACCTGCGAGCATGGCCCGCGTGCTCGAGCCAGGTGTCCCAATGCTTTAAGGCCGGAGCGCCCAGATCAGGGCGCGCTGCGGCTGGGGCGGTGGGGACGTTCCTTCATTAATTTATTTATTTGTGGAGAGCTTTCTCTGAGCAACCGCGATGGCCAGCACCAGGAGCATTGAGCTGGAGCATTTTGAAGAACGGGACAAAAGGCCGCTGCCTGGGTCGCGGAGAGGGGCTCCCAGCTCCTCTGGGGGCAGCAGCATCTCTGGCCCCAAGGGCAATGGGCTCATCCCCAGCCCGGCACACAGTGCTCACTGCAGCTTCTACCGCACGCGGACCTTGCAGGCCTTAAGCTCTGAGAAGAAGGCCAAGAAGGCACGCTTCTACCGGAATGGGGACCGCTACTTCAAAGGCCTGGTCTTTGCCATCTCCAATGATCGTTTCCGTTCCTTTGATGCGCTCCTCATAGAGCTGACCCGCTCGCTGTCTGACAATGTGAACCTGCCTCAGGGCGTCCGCACGATCTACACCATAGACGGCAGTCGGAAGGTCACCAGCTTGGACGAGCTGCTGGAAGGTAGGAGGGGCGGGCAAAGCTTGGCAGGTGCAGTGACTGTGGGCTGGGCGCTTCCCCGCCTAGAGCGGGGCAGGTGCTTTCTAGGCAGCCAGGGGGATTAGAGCGCCTCTGTAGTTTGTGTTGGCCCAGGGTGCACACATTCTCTGTCCTTCTCAAGAGATTTGCCCTTTTTTTTGAAGAAAATTCTAATGAGTAGAGACACAGACAATGGTACCTTTAAAATTAGCCAACTTATTTTTGCTGGAAGGGCAAGCTGTTTGAAAGCATGGTCCTCCAGTGAGGTGCGGGGTAACCCTTGGTGGAGCTCAGCGCTGCACTTGTGCTGTTCCCGTGTTTGGTATCCCACTGTACCTTCTGTGCATGGCTGTGGTTCTTACTTGCTCCAGGTTGGCTTTTCTGATTTCACTTATGGCAGAAGTCACTCAAAATCAAGAGGGGCGATCCAGCATAGCAGGTATCAATCTTGGCTTCATCTTGGACCATACTGGACACTTTGAAAAGTATAGGTGTCTGGACCCACCCACTCCTTAGATATTATGTTGTGCATGGTTGGGGTGTTACTTGGGCTTTTAAACTTTTGAAAGTTCCTCAGATGATTTCAGTGTGTAGACAAAATGGAAAAGTAGCCGTGCTTAAAGAATTTTCCACATTTGGTCGACAGCGGGGTGAATCAAGGTGAATCTCTCCTGCCTTCTCCCTGAAGAGGATGACTAGGGTCGAGGGAAGCGACAGCAGAGACCTATTAGAAATTAGTAATCCTGGCACAACAACTATGCATCACTCAGAAGGACCATTTGGTAATATGTTGGGACATACTTGAGTTTCTGCAATATTTATTAGTTCTTGGGAAGGGATGGGTGGTTGGTAGTTACGAACCTGATTTTTAGTTCTAAACAGCATTCAGAAAGACCAGATATATCCCCTAGTGTGTATGGACTGAATGTATACGTGTAGCTACCTCTCAGACATCTTTCGTAATGGAAATAGGGCATTCCATGTAGCCAAAGCAACAAGAGGGAGGAAAATGATCTCTGAACTAGGTGGTTTTCTTATTTCAGCATAAGCTTATATTCTAAAGTCATTTTCTCTGTTTCACAGGTGAGGAAACCTAAGCAGCATGCATGCCAGGGTTACTGATTTCTAACAGGCCTCAGCTGATGCTTTCTCTTTTACAGTTCCCCTCCAAAGGGAATAAGGTAGCTATTCTGAGGAGTCCGCAAAGTGCCTGAGTTTCTCCATTACTTTTAGCAAATGGTACCCTTGCTCTGGCTACAGGACAACACAATTAAAATTGTCTTCTATATAATTTATCAGTAGAAGAGGCTACCTCACACTTTGCCTTAGAAGTGAGTTTTGGTTTTAAAGACTAAAAGAAGAGGGTAACCTGTAGGTGTGCCACTAAAATGAAGAAAACATCGTTGAGAGGACCACATTACTTCATAGAGACAAGGTCTTGCTACGTAGCTTTGGCTGTCTTGGTGCTCACTATGTAAACCAGGCTGGCCTTGAACTCACAGAGATCCGCCTGTCTCCAGTTTTCTGAAAACTGATCCTGATAGTTTTTTGTCTGATCCCCATGTCAGAGCACCAGCACAGTTAAAGGCTCAACACTGTTGTGCAAGCACGTGTCACTCACTGGTCCTCAGGTGATGTACCCACTCCACCTCCAGATGGTTAATAATGTTAGGCTCCTTCTCTGAAGTTATTTTGACAAGGTATTGTTAAGTTAAATTAAACTGCTTCAAAGGAGAGATAAGAACATTTTCTGTGTTAATATAAAGACACATGCTATACATCTACTCCTAGGAGATGTGTGGCCTTCTGAGTCACTTCAAGTCCAAATAGTTGGTTGGGAAATTTCCTTGAAGTCTTTCACTTGCTGATATTTGGAGAATGGTGATTTGGGCAAACACTGACTACACATACAGTCCAAACAATTATACCACATTGTAAATAATGGTACAACGAATGGTTTCTGTGTCTTTGCTGACTTGGTTCAAGAGTTTTTGTAATATAAAATGAGTGTAATAGAAAATTCAACTTTTTTGGTTACAGTAGAAATTTGTCTAATAGTGTCTTTCTCTATTAATTTCTTAGTTCAACAGGGTGACATATGCCTGTGATCCCAGAGCTCTGGAGGTACAGGCTGCTGGAGGATCATCAAAAATTTAAAGCTAGCTTGATCTAAATAGTTAAGTTCCCAGCTGCCAGGAATATATAGAACTTGTCTTTAATATTGAGCCTTCTCACCACCCCCTTTTTAAAAAGAATGTTTGTTATGCAATGTGTGGGGCAGAATTTGGACCCCCAGAACCCACATAAATGCTGGTGGATGTAGAGGCTTGCCTGTAATTCTAGCCTTGTGAGACAGAGTCAGGGATCCCCAGAGCAGCTGACTACTGACTGAGACTAGCTGTATCAGTAAGCTCTGGGGTTAATGGAGAGACATCCTTTATCTTACTTAAGGTGAAAGAGTGATTGAGGACACATCCCAACATCAAATCCCCAGCCTACCACGTGCAAGCACACAGTCATGTACATGCATATCCCCACATGTGTGCCTGCACATATGCAAACATGCAAAGACACATATGAAGTTTTAGGTTTCAACTAAAATCATGTGCTCAAATGTTCAGGTTTATCCCACTGAACCAGGGTGCTTTCTGATGTAACTTACCTCAGTGAGTACAGTGTTGGCCATGCTGTCAAACCACTCTACTTCATGTGAGTCAGCTGTTAAACAATGTTTCATTTTCTTTGCCTCTTCCATGCTAGCAAACATACTTTAGGAGGTGATTAAAACAAAACTAAAATTGTCTTCAATTAAGACTAGAGAACTTGATTCAAGATTACAAGGCTCCTTCCTAGCCACTGTCCCCTTGAGCTCAGATGAGAAAAGAAATTTGCATGGCCCATTTTTTTTTCTCCTACCCTTGACCTTGAAAGTCTCTGGAGAATCAAGCTGGTCTGGTGTAGGACAGTTTTCCTTCAGCATGGTTCCTAAACCAGCTAACTGGTTTATTCAGCTTTCTGGATTAGTATTGCCGAGTGGGCTGTGTGGATTCCTGTAAATCTGTTTATTCTTGGAAACTCTTGTAGGACTCTATCTCCCAACAATAAGTGTGGGAAAATCAGGTTGAGTCCGCTGAGCTTAGAGCATCTCTGAAGGTCCATTCGGAATGTCCAGATGAGGGCTTTTAGCACTTTTTCCCACTTGTCATCCCCTTTTGCCTAACATAGGTTATATCACCTGGTTATAGGTATATAAAATGACATAGCATTTACTGAAAGTAAATCATGAAGAAATTTATTTTGTGCTTAAAATTTGTTTTATTACATTTGTTTCTATGTATGTCTGTGAATGTGCATACCATTTTGAAAAAAGAAATGGGAAGATACTGGTTTGGTAAGATCAATTTATGTGCTTTTGCTTACAGGGTAACACTTATTAACATTTTAAGCAAACACACTAAGGAACCTGGAGGCAAAAGCCGATGCAGAGGCCATGAAGGGTGCTGCTTAATAGCTTGCTCATCACGGCTTGCTCAGCCTGCTTTCTTATAGAACCCAGGACCAGCAGCTCAGGGATGGCACCACTCACAATGGACTGGATCCTCTCCCATCAACAGTTAATTTAGAAAATGCCCTATAGCTGAATATTGTGGAGGTTCCATCTTTCCGGGTAACTCTAGTCTGTGTGTCAACTTTGATGTAAGACCAGCCAGTGCATCCTAATGCTTGTGCTGTAGCCACTTGACTGACAGAGCTGTCTCCATGGTCTGCTATTGGAATGTGCATATCAGAATATACATTTAGAGCAATTTAGTTTATTGAGCTCTTCCTTAGAATATCTTTTACAAATTTAAGATTAATTTTGAAATAATGATAAAATTGTTACTCAGCGATAGTCTCCTCCCTCATTTCCTTGCTCATCATCTTCATCTCTTAACAGTATTTTGCCTCACCTGAAGAAAGTCACCAAAATGTATTGCTGGCTCTGTGTATGTTCATTGAGCCCGTGTGAGTGAAAGAACTTGAAAAGTGGCTCGGTGGATATGTGTCTCCTTAGTTTAGTGATCAAAGTCAGTAGCTGGGAAGTTACACATGAATCTTATAGTGCATTTAAATACTTAGTAGCCTGGCTCCTAGAGATACTTGAGTCGTAGTCTTCAGAATCTTTCAGCAAAATTATATCTGACACCCACCCCCACCTCCAAGTGCTGGGATTAAAGGCATACACCACCATGCCCTGCCTACTTTATTTTTTGTGACTCTGAATAGACCATGTGGAGATTCATAAAACTTTGGCTATGTCCTCCTCCTCCTCCTCTTTCCCTTCTTCCCCTTTTCCACCTCTTCCTTCCCCCAGCTCCTAACTCCCTTCTCCTCTTCCAGGTGCCCAGGCACTTTGACATCAGAGTTACATCTCAGGCCTGCCCGGCCTATTGTTTATCTGTCCTTCAGATATGACCCATTTCCCTCAAGTCTTCTCATTCTTGGAAGGCCTGTCTGTCTGTCTTTCATTTTTGGATGAACACTTGTTTTCTGAACTTTTGTTACTTGTGTGAGTGCTGAATCTAAGTCATAGTCGGTATTGCTTGCCTAAATTTAGGGCTAAACTGTGCTGTTAGACCCATGGAAGATTAAGGATGCAGGAGAGGAGAAATGAAGGACCCCAGAGGCTGGGGAACCACTGCTTGGATGAGCCCGTTAATGGAATGCTACACTCATTGTGCCCCAGTTTGTTTGCAGATGTCAACCATCTTTCAGTTTGAAACCCTTCCACTAGCCTTATAGTTGCAGTTTATTTATTTATTTATTTGTACGAGAGTCTCATTGTTGTAGTTCTGGCTGACCTGGAACTAAGATACACCTTCTGCCTCCCAGATGCTGGGTTTGAGATGTATATGACCACTCCTGGCTATATTTGATTTTATTTGATACGTAGGAGTTATGGTTATGGGGTATTGTGAGCTAAATCAGTGCATGTACACAGTGTT